TCATGATATGAGCCATTAGAGTCATTTTGCCTTCTTCTGTACATTTCTTCGACATATTCTTCTAGATATAATTTCAGTTGAAGTGAAAGTAATTATTACAAATTCTTATTAGTTAAGAAATTATATAGGGTACATGTATATTTTGGAACGCAACTAAAGTTGTGGAAATAATGTCTACTTACAGTTAGGACTATGCTGCCTCATATGAGGCCGATTGTGTGCCCTCTAGAAACGATTAGTGGAAAACCGTTATCTTATCGCAAAAACTGTGAGTAAAGTTAAAAAAAAAAAAAAAAAAGCGAGAGGAAAAATTGACAGCATAGTGCAAGTAGCTGTTTCACATAAAATGGCGCTCTACATACACTAGTAATCTGAACAGAAAGCTAAAATGAATATCCCTTCACCTTCGATATAGGCATAAATATGTCACTAATCATATCTGTGACATCATAAAGTGGATCCAAATTTATCTACGGGAAAGAATATCGCCCATACGTGCTGTCAGAGAGTAAGTAGTCCAGCTAAATAGTCTGAAGACCCACGTTTCGAACCCCGCAGAGCATTAGTGACGACTTTTCGGGTTTTCTAGTCGGGGAAACAAAAGCTCATATCTCTAAAATGGCTCTCGAACTAAAAATATGGTGAACAATACTTCGTCACTTTCTGTGTTTGTTTGACTGAGACTCGGCATTTCCCCAGTCGCCTGTCAAGTGGGAGTATATAATCATCTCAGTTACAAGCAGGTGGATAATGCATGGCTCGAATTTCTGTGGGCGCATGGCCGGGTTTTCGCGTTTCCTGCTCCGAAAAGAAACCTGTACATATTAATAAAAGTAGCACATATCAGCAAAGTACAGTTTATTGTACTTTATATTCATATAAAAGTTGAATGTTATCAAAATGAAAAACGCTAAACAATGCTTTAGAATTACATAATGTCAGTACTAATAATTAACATGCTTGATATGTCCACCATCAGCACAAATATACATCTCTGTATTCGAGCTAGAATTTCTATTTTATTGGATGTTCCGTAACATTACGGGTGTCCTTTCCCTACGTACTTGAATAATGCGTGTTCATAGATCGCTGTCATTGCGTGATGGTAAGTTGTACAATTGTCTTTCGTGTAATCCGAAACTCTCGTATATCGTAGAAGAAGCTTCACAGGGATGCCAGTTGATGTAATAGAAAGCCGCTTTGCAGGAATCACACATAACGGGCAGCTACTAATTCTCTAAGAAGTAAGGCACTGCAGTTTGCAGTAGCTCTAAGAATCTTCGTCCAGTTGAGGTTCCATTGCAGAACAGAGTTCCTATGAGGTGAATGGTCCATATCCCGCACCTGGTATTGAAGGACCACTGCCTCTAATGACAAATTTTTTGTTGCCATTATGCTTTTTCAAGTGCCCAATTTTGCGAGAGGTGTAGGTTTAGTACCCCAGTGCGATTGAATTTCGCCTCGTCCGTCCACAAAATGTTATTTTTTTTTTTATCTCCAACGCGCGGAATCGGAAATTTTAAAGATATGTTCATTTTAAAATTATTTTGCGATATTACTGATGCACTGAATTTTATGACTTAAGTGCGAAGAACATTATATTTAATAAATAAAGGTAACACACAAAACGTTAAAAAAACCCTCTTTGGACGTAATTTGAAATCAATGTTTTTTAATTCACCAAGTTATTCATTTACCAGAAATGGTGCACAACTCATAATTTCCCCTGGTAGCCGAACGATCCCAATTAGCGAAAAAACCGAAAAATACATAAAAAACAGTACTCGAATATACACTCATGTCCATAAATTAAGGATAATTCGGAGTCACGCGGAAATCGAACTCTAAAATAAATGTCACCTGTAAAATCACTACACACATCTTCAAGAATCATATGCAAATTTCGCCACACCAGCGGCCGAGCGGTAAAGTCGCTGAACACTGGTAGTTCGGTCCGAGGTTCGAATCCCGCGAACGGGCTGGCTGCATGGGCGTTTTCGTGGTTTTCCCCATGTGTAACGTGTATACGAGCTAGTTTCCCTTAGAAAATCCTCCACGAAGGCATCCCTCCTCTTAGGCAGATAGCCCTCGAGGCTTTGCCCTAATTACACACACACATATGCAAATTTCAGGAAGTAACCAGATTACACCGATGGTATGTCACAATGACGAGAGTGTAAGAGAGTGATATATAAGGAATACAGGCAAAGAAGTAAAATTGTTCGCAGGCGCTTTTATAAGCATTTCAGTGCAATAACCGAATAGTTATGACACAAAGGACGCATTTGGTTGATTTTTTACGTGGTAGAATTATCGGCCGACTGGAACGTGGGCGTACCCAACTGGATGTATCAGATGAACTTAGAATTGCCCAGAGTGTCATCTCCAGGCTTTGGCAACGATTCCAAGATGATGGTAATGTGAGTAGACGTTACAGCACAGGTCGCCCCAGAGTTACAACGACCGGTATTTGGCAGTTACTGCCAAAAGAAACAGGCGGAGCACAGCCTCAGACCTATCTCGTCAGCTCTCTTCAGCCACTGGTACGACAATTTCAAGGCAGACCGTGTACAGACGCTTAGGGCAGATTGGTCTGTATGCTCGTAGACCTGTCAGATACGTTCCACTTACTGCAACTCACTGTCGCCTGCGGTTAGCTTGGAGTAGAGCGCATGCATTGTGGACACCGCAACAGTGGGCTTCTGTGATGTTTTCCGACGAGTCCAGGTTTAGCTTGCAGTCTGATTCTTGCCGGACTTTCATATGGAGAGCTCCAGGTACCCGTTACCCCCAAGAAAACATCATTGAACGACACCGTTACGGTTGTGCAGGAGTGCTCGTTTGGGGTGGAATTATTCTGGGTTCCAGAACTGACCTGCATGTTCAAATTGGAATTATGAAAAGCCAAATCTATCGGGACGTCATTCTGGAACAGCATGTACGTTTGTTTCGTGGCGCCATAGGCGCACAATTTGTGTTTATGGATGACAACGCTCGTCCTCACCGTGCAAACATCGTAAGCGAATGCCTTCAGTCGGAGGATATCACCCGTATGGACTGGCCAGCATTCTCACCGGACTTGAATCCAGTAGAGCACGTGTGGGACATGCTTGGCCGACGAGTTGCAGCCCGTCAACCTCCTCCTACATGTCTACCGGAACTTCGGAGTGCATTGCTTTTTGAGTGGTGTAATATCCCCCAAGATCAGATCTATAATTTGATACTCAGCATGCCTAGGCATTGTACGGACTGTATTGCATCGTCTGGGAGACATACAATGTGTTAATGTGTTAACAATCATACCAACCATGTAATATTGGTTTTTTGTAAATAGGTTTTGTTTTGCAATTTGCTCCAGGGAGAAAAAAATCGCTAATTTTTTTAATAATATCAAACATATAGCATCTTTTTTTTTTTTTTTTTTTTTGCTCTTTACCTTTTGTTTAATAAATAAGCTTTACAAATAAGTCAAATTTGTTTTGCTTCTAACTCTTCCTTTGCCTGATTTTGCATTATCCTTAATTTATGGACATGAGTGTACTTTCATTGCATCTGAAACGCATTTCCGTAGCGAAGCGACTCACAAAAAATCTCACAGAGATCCGAGCTCCCAAGTATCATGGCGCCACCTATGGAGCATTACGGTTAGCAGAAAGTTGGCCGAAACGCAGTTTAAAAAACATATACGCTTAACTCTCCAAGCTTTTAGACATTGTGGCGCCATCTGTAGACCGTAATGGAAAAAGAAAACTTATTGCTTTGAGCAAAATTTCAATACCTTTAAATTTACAGTTTTCGGATTTAATTGCGCTTAACATGAAAATTATTATTAATTTATTCCCATCTTAGTGTAGTTCCTGGTAGGAAAATAATACATGTTTGTTGTTTCAAAGGCCGAAATGAAGGAACTTATATTTAATAATTACTTGGTTTCCTGCCGAAAGTTTTACTACCGAAAGCGCAAGCAATACTTCTTTCATATGTCTGATAATCTTGCTTTGCTACAACGTGAGTGAAATCTACTATGCCGATCCTCGGCATAACTGAAGGGCGTTTACAGAAATTAAAATCTATTGATAAACTGTGTCAAAGTTAAGCATAATGATTCTCAGAACGAAAGAGAATTTATTCCTAAAAGCGTAAACCGTGGTATCTCAGTATACGTCATTAATCCGTTCCAGATCCTTGAATGTATACCAAAATAAAAGGAAAATACATAATCTCTTCTAATAAAAAAATCCTATCGTTATTATTATAACGCAGTTTAATACCAAAATACAGATACAGTGGGTGAAATATGTACTGTATATAAATGTTTTTCTGCTATCCAGATCAAGAGTAAATTTTAAGATGCTCTAATTCTAATGTTTGTTTTCTTTGTTAGGTAATCGATCCCCTTCGCAACGTTAGTCGATTTATCAGCGCCTTTGTTTCTCATTGTCATAGACAATATCGTACTCGGCATACAGTATACAATAGCCAATAGCCAAATTCCGGATACGGATGCTGTCTTCCTACTCTCCAGCAATCTCTTTTTTTGCATCTCTGTGATCATAACAATTTTCTTTAGTGCTTTCTTAGTCTTCTCGTTAACTATCCTAAAACTCACTGTAAGTGAATTTACAAAAAATTTAAATGAAGATGTCTGGAAGATGGAAGATGTTTGTTCTCATTTTATTTTTTACGAGCAAAATATTTTGCTCGAAAAAAACCAGGTAAAATAAGCTTGTTTTAAGAAGTATTAAGTTCGCTAAGACTAATAATTGAGAAAGGGCTGTAAAAACGTGTTGGGAAATAAAAAAAATTCTCTTTTATGCATATTATTTGCACTTATTACAGATTTTTTGTGCTTGCTATTTATGAATATTTACTTATATATATTATATGAAATAAAATTTACTGTCTAGGTTTCCAAAATTAAATAATACCTTTTTAGCATATTACAAAAGAAATCTGTGCCACTCTTCTTGTATTTAGTTATTTTTTTATTTCTATTTCAGGCTCAGTTTTGCCGAAGGCTTCTTTCTTTCGTATCTGAAAACTGAAATCGTTGGGGAAGAAGTGCGCTGCTACGATCGAAGTCTAAAGAAATTCTGAAAGCAAGAAAAAACTGAAACAAGAATCCAACCAGATGAGAAAATACACTTTTTAATAAAATATATGGATTTGTATGTTTTATTATTTCAATAAATATGGCCAATTCCCCACGAAATTCACTCGGTAATGTACGCTCTGATATGGACATAACGTACCCTGAACATCTGTCCAGGCTTCACCGACACTCAGTTCTAACAGAATATCCGAAAAGCTTCTATAACCCAAAAAAGAACACCCGGAGTCGACGTGGTAACAGATATCGCACACAGCCAGTAACCTTTGATGAGATTCAAGAAGTTGATGAGGAGAGCATGCCCATCGAGCCAGTTCCCGATGATCAGAAGCAAAAGATGTCTACTTCGCTTGAATTAGAGTTGGGCTTATTCAGGTTCTCGAAAGCTCTGGGATCAAAACTGAAGACGACGACTACATCCAGCGCAGCAACTCTGCCTACTGATGTAGATATTCTGGATCGCAATAGAGCTGAGAAGTCTATTCAGAAACCTAATCATACGAAGCCAGCAGATCAACTAAGATGGACAGATTATACTAGAGAAGGTTCAGTTTGAACTATCTTTAGTGATTATATTCGTGCAATTTTATATATCTAAATAATTAATGTAACGTCTCAGTATTTGGGGAAATGTGAAACTGAATATATTACTTTTTTTCTGTCAACAGTACTTTCCTTAATTCTTCTGTTCGTCTTTCGTGAGCTGAAACTATCAGCAGTACATTTATTCTGGCTCCTTAATTCTTCTATTCGTATATCGTGGGTTGAATTATATTTTCTTGTACAATAGGTGCCACGTAATGTTTATTTATTTACATTATGAATATTTTATGCTAGCCTCGTGTGTGATTAACTTCCTTCAAATTGAATTATTTATGGTTAGAAACATTTTGTCAAATGTTAATATTGTCATGTATGTTAATATTGTCATGTATGTCAAATGTTAATGTTGTCATGTATCGTGATTTATCATTTCATGCATTTCTAATTTAAAGTATATCAAATAATTAATAAAATATTACAATTTATAAACAGATTACGAATTTTGTCAACTTATTCCTCTGGAGACATTCTGTTGATTATTTTCATAAGATATACGTTTTCGTTAATGGTTAAAATAAATTTTTAAAATAAAAGTAAATAAAAGTAGTTGAATAAATTTTTATGTCAATATTTATGCTTGTATACAAATGTGGAATATTTATGATAACGTTCACGAAATCAATAAATTTGTGTTTTATTGGAAATATGAAAGACGTCTGTCTCTTAATATACAACAGTTTAATTAAAATGCTCCTATTTTGATATTAACTGAAAAAGGAAATTTAAGCTTGAATGATAATTTGAGGTCGTTCATTGAATAAACTTACAAAAAAGAAATTGTTCTTATTTATTTTTCTGTTTTAGATCTTTAAAGTAATTCTCCGCAATGCTATCATTTGCAACTGAGTTTTTAAATCATATGAATGAAAACATTTTAAGGTACTTATTTTTGACAGCTTATATGAATGAATTTACAAGATACATTAAGTTTTACGAATCATTATTTTCCTTTATGAGTAATCCTCCGTAAAGTAAGTTAGTTTCTATTTAGAAGACGTTCCTAAACTTTAATGATAAAGTTTAAAGTAATAACTGATTTATATGTTAAAATAATACGCTAATTGACATGTTTTCTCCAAAAAATGCCTCGTTTAAGATAGGTAAAAATCTCATCATAGAACTATGATTTAAGGAATAAAATTTTAAATACATCAAGCTTACAATTTTTTTTTTAAATTTTCCTATTGAAGTGAGCAAAATATGAGTTTTAGAACTGTAATTGCACAAAGTAGAGAATACTCATCATTGTTACTTTTCACTCCTTAAAACATAATTTTCTTGTACTCTAAAGACTGTAGGTCAGTTATCAACCCGTCTGTAAAAGTAATTACAGATTCAGAAGAATGTTTAAATAACCTCTTTACTTCCTTGTACGAAGTAAAAAGGAAGTATTGTAATCGGGAAAATTTTCAGGCATCATACTTAACGCAAATATTCATTTTCACCGCTATCAAATGCAATTTAACGATGTTTTTGCTTGACATCTGTACCTAAGGACAGAATAAAGAACTCTTTTCCCCTAAAAAATTGTAAAACTAATTTAAAATAAATTCTGAAGACAATTTTTGTGACATCTGTGCGTACGTACGTAAGTATCTCGCATAACTCAAAAACGAGTAGCCTCAGAACGTTGAAATTTTGTATATAGGACTACTATAACATGTACATGTGCACTTCGTATTTTGGTTGCCATTGTCCGAACCAAAAGTATATAAATATATGTATATATATATATCCACTCTGTTACTCGGCTCAGTGATCTCAGTTTCTTTATTCTTATATGTTTGTAAATTGTGCATTTGTTTGCTTTAAAAATGATTGAATTATGCTTTTCTTATGTTCCGGTTAAGGTTTTTATGCCTTTAGTAAATCTGTATGCAATACTTTTAGAATTATCATCAATTTAAGAGTATAAATTTTTAAAATAAAAGTAAATAAAAGTAGTTGAATAAATTTTTATGTCAATATTTATGCTTGTATACAAATGTGGAATATTTATGATAAAGTTCACGAAATCAATAAATTTGTGTTTCATTGGAAATATGAAAGACGTCTGTCTCTTAATATACAACAGTTTAATTAAAATGCTCCTATTTTGATATTAACTGAAAAAGGAAATTTAAGCTTGAATGATAATTTGAGGTCGTTCATTGAATAAACTTACAAAAAAAGAAATTGTTCTTATTTATTTTTCTGTTTTAGATCTTTAAAGTAATTCTCCGCAATGCTATCATTTGCAACTGAGTTTTTAAATCATATGAAGTGTCGCTAAGCCTAATAATTTTTGCCATGTCAGCCATTGCTTGTTTACATTTTAAACAAACGAATAGTAGATTTGTTGCCAATCTAGAGAAAGTAAGCTTCGAAATAACAAAGATAACGCCTTCTTTTAATATTCCGAATTAAATCAAGCTTAATCTATTCTGAAATATATTCGAGGAAATAAGTGTCTAGATATACTTCATAATCCGTTTGGGGATGTAAAGGAATGGTTTTGAATCTTTTTCATGCTAAGAATTCGACACAATCCTTTAAATATGACTGCCGCGAAGTTGTTCCCTGGTCACAGTGAATAAAATGAGGCACTCCATATCGTGAAATCCAATTTTCTACTAATACATCTGCGACAGCTAAAGCTCCTTGATTACAGTGGCATAAGATTTCTGCCATTTCCTAAAGATGTTCATGACAGCTAGTATATAAATGCTAATCCTTAGTTGTATGAGGCAAAGTTACAAGAATATTCAAAACAAGGCTTTTCGAATGGTATTCCTAGTGTAATTTTACTCGTGTACTGGTCTTATCAAGCTCCACACGTATCACAGGATTTGCATCACTTCTCTATATCTGTTTTAGCCTTCTCCCAGAAGAAATGTTTGTGAACTTTATGGAGTGCCTTCATTACACCAAAATAACTTTAAAGCTACTTATAAATGACACTATATACTTGAGACTTCCGTACAATGAGTTGGCATTTGAAAACAATTCTGTCGTTAGCTTCTCATTTGCGATAACGAATTCCATTTCGCAGGTGAGTGGAATTCCATAAAGTCCAATATCTTTTCTTCATCGGACTACAAAGTATTTTTTTTTTCTTGCTAGCTGAGTTTTTAGCTGCTAGTTTCAATTAATTTCATGAATGGTTCCACTTCTGGGTCTTCAGTTCCTTTCTCCTCCTTTCTCAGTTCTTCATTGCTCCATGGATTAGTCTCGGATGTATATCAGTGAAATATCAGTGAAAAAACATTCTAAGATTAAATGATAAAAGTACACTGCGGCTTTTGCAACTGTCAGTAACGTCCTTTTTGTCTGCTGATAACTATAAAGGTTTATATTTTAATTTACCTTTTGTATTTTGGGGAAGAATTTGTTCTTCTCATATTATTTCTAGTTCTCATTTGTATCCCCGTCTCTAATATTTCTGAAACGTAAAGATTTAGTTCAGAGTGCAGATAACGTACCTGTTGCATAATTTCCCTATTTCCTTCAAAACTTCTTTTCTCGGCTACTTTTTTTTATGAAGTTTTGTCTTTGCAGTTTTCCTTTTGCTTACTTTGAAACTGCAGCCTCTATTTTTTTAAAGTGAATCTTTCCTGCTTTTATTCGAGCTTTTTTATAGTTTGCTTTATGGCAGAATTCACAGTACTCTGCATTTTCATTACGGCAAATTTCGCATTTTTTCAGATTGCTAAACATATCTGTTGCTGACTTTGGTAATAAAGGTAGCGCCAGCAAATCACTGTGACGACAAACACGTTGATATCTTTTGATGAATGTGGAAGTCTTCAGGAAAACTTTTCATTTGGTGACTTCAGATTTTCGTTAAATTTGTCACATTCATTAAAATATGTTTCCTGTATAGTTAATGAATTTAACTCTGAAGACAAACATTGTTGACATCTTTTAATTAATGTGAAAAGAAATTTCTTCAATTAGTGAATTAAATTTTGGTGAAACTTTTCATATTTATCAAATTATGTTTCCTTTAATTAATGGATTTGTCTGTGAAGATAAAAAAACATCGTTTATAATTTTTGATGAATATGTAAAGTTTTAAGAAATTTCTACGTTTGGTGAATAAAATTTTCGAAAAACTTCTCATATTGATCAATAACTGTCTACAGAGATATTTCTACATAATTGTTTCTCTGAGGCAAGTAGTAATGCGCACAAGGCAAGGTAACCCTTAAACAAGGCAAGATGTCCGACCATTTGATAACAATAAATAAATAAAAAAATATATTAACAATAATAAGTAATTAAAAGAGAGAAAACACGAAAAAAGAAATTCATGTACATCCAATGCAAGTTAACTTATGCACTTTTCTATTCATTATAGATAACTATTTTAAATCATATCATTTCCTTATTATAATATTTAATCACAGATTTATATTTTGAAAACATGGCATATATATTAAATTATATATTGGAATAAAAGCCTAAAAATTTCCTTTGTTTATAAATGGCATATAACATTGAAATAATATGGATAGTAATATAACTAATATAAAAATTATTGCACTAATTCTCAAGAATTTTTAATAACCTACTTTTTCTTGCTGTTAACGAAACAAAAATCAGTAATATTTTAAAAATCTACTAAACCACTTAACTTAAATTTTATAGGAAGAGCTGCCATATTTAAAATGCAGTTTTTTAATCTAAATGAATACCTTACATAATTTTTATCATTATTTTAACTTTGCTGATGTTGTTTTGCCGCTAGCGTTAATAATTGGCAAGATTAAAAAAATATCCTTAACCGCTGCTTCTAAATTCGGAAACCACTAAACTAAACTAAATTCGTGAATTAATTTTAAAAATTCTAAGCTAGCAGCTGCTTTATAAAATTACTGAAGAAACGTGATGTTTAAAACTAAATAAATATTTCCGGCTAAAATTCTGTGTCACTTATATCATTCGGGTATTTAAGAGCTAAATTATAACCTTTGTTTTTAAGTTGCTTAAATCCAGTGACATTGATTTTCGCTAATGGAAACTAAAAACTGGAATACATTTCGGTTGTTTTTTCGTATCTTCATTTCAGTTACGAGACTAAACCACGCAACATTTCTTTAATTTCATCTACTGTGAAAGAAGTATTTTTCTGAAATATTTTTGTTTTCTTATCAATTTATTCTTGACAATCTGACTTATTACCCCTTTTTCGTTTCTGTACAACTTCTGATGATCTATTTATCTTTACAGCTATATGTTTACATTTCTTGAAATTACTTCTGGAAATATTTTCTCTCGCCTGCTGTAAAGAAAGAAAGAATCCCTCTAGTAAGCGGTATCCCTCTAGTTTGTAAGTAGTTGCAGTTCACGAAGCAGTACGCTATTCTGTTTCTTGCAGGATTGAATTCCATGCAAATAACACATATAAAATTTTCAAATGATTTGCTTTTTAAATAACTTGCTTAAAAACGC